CACAACATTTTGGACTAGTTGGATTCTTTTGTCTTTTACCTAAAGACAAAGTTTATATTTTATAAACTTGAGTTTATAAAAAATAAAGAATCTTACTTTTTAAAAGGCATAATGATGGTGTAGGAGGTTGCTTTTTCAACCTTCCACCTTTTGTCTCCCATGCTTCTAAAGGCTACCATTACTTTAGATTATTTTAATGGTTAGGCCTTACTTTTAATGGGCTATATAAGAGATGAATGAGGCTTGCATTTTTGCAAGAGTGAAGCTCTTCTTTCTTCCATTCTTTCTCTCTAAATCCGTGAGCATGAAGAAGCTCTTTTCTTTTGAAGTTTGGTGCTTTTCTTTGGTGATTAGAAGTCCTCTTGAGTTGTTCCCTTTAGTGCTTAATTGAGTTAAGCACTTAAAGGCTTTAAACACTCAAGAATACAAGAAGGAACTAGCATTCCAAGTGCCTTACTCTTGATGGTGGATACTTGTAGAGAAGATCATACACTTTGATCTTTTGTTATCTTCATCAACACCCCAAAACCAAGTTGGTTCAAAGGCTTCAAATGTTATCTCTAAAACATCCTATGGTTGGTTTTATTTCATTCTAACATCTATAAATGGATCCATGATGGTTCGGTTTTGTTATGAACTGAAAATAAACTTGTTATTTTTAAAGTCTTCCGTTGCCGTTTTTTATAAAAAACAAACTTTTATTTCGTATCAAAACCCAACATGAAGACTGGGTATTAAGCTGGTGGAAGCTACTAGCTGATACCATGTCCAAAGGATAAACAAATTGGTCTTTTCTGGCCGTGAAATTGGAGATGTCACAAACTCTTTCCTTAATTGCCTTAACCAGTCCCTGTTAAGTAACATTTCAATGTCATCAAAAATAAAAAATAAAAAGTAAAAATTATTATTAAAAAGTATCTAAAAATCAATTAACTACCTTGTGTTGGTCAGGGATGATGGTTAGTCCTTTACCTTGTCCCATTTCAATGTCATCGAGCAATAAATCCAAAAACCATTTCCAAGTTGCCTTATTTTCAACTACAACAACATCCCATGCTAGAGGATACATTTGGTTATTAGCATCCCTACCAACAGTTGGCAGTACCTCACCTCTGCAAAGACCATTTAAAAAACATCCATCTACACCAATCACCCTTCTACACCCCACAATCCAACAATCTTTCACAACCTACAAACAAATATACATCTTTGAAAATTGTGGAAAGCATGATATCCACATCTAATTTCATTGTTGAACATGGATTAGCCCTCAATAGCTCCAAACCATAACTCCTAAGCTTTTCATAATGTACCACCAAACCCCCTTCTATCTCATCCAATGTAAATTTTTTGGCATTTCTACACTGCCAAACACTAACTTGTAGATTAAAATTTCTAAGGACTGCTGCTTTCATTTTCTTGTAACTGATTCTTGGATTATCTAATATGTTTTCCATTAAGTGTTTTTCAATCCAACTATATGTGACCATTACACCTAAACTGAAGGCCCTACAACAGTTGTGTTCAAATATTAACGACTTAATCTAAAATGATATTTCTTTACTCATCCAAGTTGCCCACAATCTAAAAGGGCATTTAGATTTTTTTTCTTCCTTTTTTGCATCATTTGACTAATAATCTAGTTAAATAATTTTTTTCATACCACAGTTTATACTTATTAGCAACAACATAATTGCTTAACATGTGCTTAAGTTCAAAACGATCACGAAATTTCATACCTAAGATTGGTACCATAGTATCCCATTGTTGGTTAGGATCATGACCAGGACACTAAGGAAGATCTGACTTGGCATCTTTCTTATCATCTACAACTCTTGTTGGCCTAACAAATTTTCGTCTAAGGAAAGGATCATCAAATTGATTTATTTATATCACTTCATTATCATGTTCATGCTCCACAAACTCATTATCTGGAAGTACAGAGTCTACATCATCATCATCATTGGTATGACCATCTGTGGATCCATCTTTAGCTATCTCTTCTTCAATCCACTCCATAACTTGTTCCCGACTATGATCAATCTACAAATTAATTCTTCCATCATTTCATATCCAACATCAAGAAAACATACATAATCATTTTCATCTATAAAGTCTCTCAACCTATCTCTCAGTGAACGATGTGGAAGACAATAGTAGACGGTGATTCTTCCATCCTTTACCAGGTTCTTTACATAAAAAATAAATTATGTGAAGCTCATGCTTCTGAAATCAACATTAGTAACAAGCACTTTTACAAGATTGAAATACACAATGGGTTTGGGGACAAAAGAACTTGTATGATTAACTTCGATTGTCAAGTGCTCATGGTTCGATGTTGAAGTCATTATCGTCGTTTGTGGTACCAGTTGTGGAATGGACGAACGGGCAAACCATGGGTATTTTCAATTTGGGTGAAATAGTGAAGGGGGAAGGCCACATATTATCCTCGTATATCTTTTATTCCTTAAAAAAAACACCAGCTAACCTGATGGTTACTTACAATACCCGATAACATGATATTTTTTGTATTAAAAAAACAATATTTTTTTTTTGTATATTTTTTAAACTTTGTAACATTTTTAGTTCATTTCCTATTATCTTTTAAAGGTATATTGATTATATGATTTCACTATATCTCAAAAGTAGGAGTGAGCAAAAACCGCACCTCAACTAAAATTATCCGCAAAAACCGTATAAACCGCAACCGATTAACCGCAACCGCAATAAAAACCGATGGTGAGGTTTTCTGTTTATCAAAAACCGCAAATTTGCGGTGCAGTGCGGTTATTAGTTTTCAAAAACCGCAAAAAAAAACGCACCACACCGCATATATTATATATAATTTTTTTATTAATTATTAATATATTAAATATTAAAAATAAGACAAGTTTTATGGATGAAAGAAGGATAAAATTTTTAGAAGACAAAAGTGTTGGTTTTTTCATATGTTTAACTTTGAAAAATAGTGAAATTTAACAATTTTAAAATATTTATTTTTAATTACTAGTGATTTAACGTTTTTAAGATATTAATTGTTTGTAATTTAAGTTAATTGTCTTATATCTTATGATTTTTTATTATTACAAGTAATATGTTTAAACTCTTAAAGGTGTTTAAACTCTAAAGTGCGGTTAAAAACCACACAAAATAACCGCATCAAATCCATGCGGTTAATAACCGAAACATAAAAAAACAAAACCGCACTGCAAAAATAACAGCCTAACCGCACCGCAAAAATAACCGTACCAAACGATTTTAAAAATTGATGCAAAAATAACAGCCTAACCGCACCGCAAAAATAACCGCACCAAACGGTTTTAAAAATGGATTAAACGCATTTGAGGTTAGTGGTGAGGTTTTGGCGCGCACCGAACCTTACCCTAGTCAAAAGTGATTTTCAGTTGCTTCTGAAAAGATGAACTCTACTCCTTGATTCTTCTCTACGAATTCTCCTCAAAAGCCCACAGTCTCTTCTTTTTATTTTCTAAATCACGAAATCAACCAATTCTTGCGCACATCTTGCTCGATCGCACCATTCTGAAAGAAAATTTCTGTGTAAAAACCATAAAATCGCCAGTCGTGGGCTGATCTTCACGCTCGAATTTTGCACATCCAAGCTTATACATTATTCGGTTCTTGCATATTCGTCTAAGGTATGTGATTGTTAATGCTTCCTTACGTTTTATGCTTAAAAAATTTACTGGATTCGTGGTAGGTTAGTTGAGAATTGGGATGAAGCTGAACAGTGAAAATGATATTTTTAGGGCTTGGTTGAGTTTGGTTCCCGCCACGAACTTTCTTGAATTTTTTTTTTGATAATTAAAACCCGTCAATAACACGTGGAATATTATTTGGAAGTGGTCCATGTAACAAAGTTGATTTTACAACCACAATACCCAACTAGTATTATACCTTTTTTTTTCCTATCAAAAATTGTCTGTTTCAACTTTCAATTTTTCGGATACAAAAGGCTATTTTTTTTTTCCTTTTAAATGCTAAATTGCAATCAGTAGTTTCCTTTTTGAAAGTTTTAAAGTACTTATCATTTGTAATAGAGGTAGAAAGATACTTGGCATTTATAATTTATAACATATATATAACAACATAGTATTTATCATTTTTAGTAGAAATAGCCACATAATGCTCATTTTCTTTTACAGAAATAGCAATGTACTGATCTTTTTTAACAATAATAACAACATACTTGTCATCTTTAATAGCAAAAGCAATGTATTTATCATTGTTAAAAATAATAGCAATGTACTTATCATTCACAACCACGTGTTGTTTTTCTTTTAATAAACTTGAAAATACAATGAGAAGGTGAACTGTGTATTCGTATGAATTTCTTTATTTGTTCGAGTCAAGGTTGAATTCAAAGATTGCTATTTCGTCCTGAATCACAACAGAAAAAAAAAAGGTACATTGCTATTTCTGCGGAGTCACAAAAGGAAAAAAAAAGTGTATTGCTATTTCCGCCAGTCACAAAGGATTAAAAACAAAAAAATAGTACATTCTTATTTCACCAACTATATCTAATACATTCTTCAGTAAACCTGGATGAAATCTGGAAGGAAACATAGAAATCAATTGCAATAATACCCTTGATTATTGAACTGAATTTTTTTGGTGTATTTGCATCAGATTTGATCAAATCAATTGAGGCCAGGTGGTTATCAGAAGTAGATTCACAACTAAAACGTTAAAAGATGGCATGTGAGGAAAAGCAAATAAAAACAGAGCAACATGCTCACGTTAAAAAACAGCAACCGGAATGGATACCTGGGTCCCAACATCCGGAAGAGATCCGACAAGAATTATTCATGAGTAAAAACCCGTCTGTTTCTATTGAGAAAAAAGTGAAGATGGAAGATTTTGAAGACTACGATGTCATGGATCCGATTTACAGAATGGGGTGGGGTGGCATCTTAGAGTTCGAGTCAGATATCTGCTACACGCAACCCGTAATAGATTGGATATCAACCCTTCAACGCCATGTTGATGGAGCATCCTTAGCCTTAACTGGTATAGTTAGTGGAAAACAATACACACTTACCCACGACAAAATCAGGCAAATGTTCGGTGTAGACACGGGTATTAGAGGAGAACCGGGTCGGGCTTACGAATATCCAGATGAGAGTTATCTGGAGCCCTCGAATCTTGAAACTCAAGATTGGATTGATCGATTGCAAGAGTTGTTCTTTCTTCCTCCTGACACAATCAAATATACGTCAACGGGGAAAGCGGATCTAAAGCCACAAGCGAAGGTTTTGTGGGGAGTAGGTGTTTTGAATATTCTTCCTAGAGAGGCCGGGTATCAAAGTAAAATTCGGGTTCGTGATATTTCAATTTTATATGGGCTTATTTCAGGGAGAGTGGCTATATCGTATGCGCACTTGGTGATGTTGAATTTATGGGCTACTTATGAGAGCGCATATAGGTCTAGTATCCCTCATGGATACCTCTTGTCTAGATTTTTACACAATGAGGGTGCTATTGATATGGATATGGATATGGAAGCCCATAGGATAAATATAGAACTTCGGACCTTAACACAGCAGGATATCCCTAATCTCGTGTTTTCACTAGAACCCCCGTTCCATATCAAAGATTGGCAAAACCGAACATTTGTGGCAGATTTTGAACCTGAAGAGAGACAGATAGTGGAGAGAGAAAAAGCCGAGAGAGTTAGAAGAAGAGATGGAGTGCAAGAACAAGAACAAGAAATCCTAAACCTCAAAAAGTCGGACCACTCGGTTGAAATTGTGTGTGTTTTGGTGGATTTTGGAACTTGTTTTGAACAATTCCATATTATCAAACTATAAATAACGTTATGCATTTTATGTGATTTGTATCCAGGAATTGCCAATAAAGGCTTCGTCTTCTGAATCTGAACCAAGCACAACTTGTGTTCGAGGCTACAAGGTGAAGAACAGCTTAGCGCCAATTCTTGAAGCCATTTTCATGAAGCATGGTGACATAGCAGCTGAATGTATATTCAAAAAAGCTTCCGTGAGGGCATTTTTCCTAGGGCTTGTTTGTGAAGTTGTCATGCAGCTTCAAACCAATGATGATAGGACTATAATTTCTAAGATGGAGGAAATGGAAACCGATGTGTCAGAGGTAGAGGCAGCTAACATTCATGTGTCGTGGCTTCGATCTCACTTGGAAGCCAGGAAAACATCAAGTTTGATGATGGAAACGAAAGCAAATATGATTATGCTTAAAAAAGCTGCCAAAATGGAAGTGAGAGAGATACGTACAGAGTTCATGGCTGCAAAAGAACGGCTTAAAAAGGCTAAAAGGTTTGTAAAAGTACTCGGTCTTGTACACAAGAAGCTAAAAACCAATATCCACCAGGGTCACACCCCTAGTTTGTTATAGGTTAATCATATGGGGTGTGGATAATAGAAGATTCACCCGGGTCACCCCTATTTTGTCAGGTTGCATGAGACCCTTTTTGTTTAGAAAAAAATTGTTAAGTTTGTATATAGGCTTCTCAAAATACTTGGATTAATTTAGCCTGTTTTTACATGCTCCTTTTGATCATGACTCTATCATGTGCTTCCTAGAAAGCTAAGATTCTGAACTTCCATTTTGAACTACTTGATTATTGTTCATAGATTTTCTTGGGCTTGTTGGTTTTCTTTTGGTGATGATGATTATCACTAGTATATTCTGTGATAATAAAAATAGATGATGATTTGTGAGGGTAATGGACTTTTGATTGTTCATATTTGTGTATTACTCAAATGTGTTTGTGTAAGTGTTTGATGTTCCTATCCACTTGACATTTTTGCTTGTGAAAACTTTGAAAAATATTGAAGTTCCAAGTGAAGATAATGTTTGAATGATCATCAAAATAATTTCTATTTATTATAATTACGGTAGCTAGTAAGTAACATTTTAATGATTAATTATTTTTTTTATCAAGATAAGAAAGATCTATTCTAATAAATGAAAGTTTTTTTTGTCATATGTCACACTCTCATTCAATTTGTCAAATGTCATTTTGTGTTTATTTTGAATTAATTTCTTTTCCACATGTAATTTTATGAGTTTTTCTATTTTAATAAATTTCACATAATACTTAAATGTAATAATTACAATAAATATAGTAATAAATGAATATCAATTTCATTAATGGATTTACTTTCTTATTTCAAAATTCTCAAATTAAAAGTCATTAGTTTAGTTTGTTTATTTATTTAAATTTAAAAGATAAAAAAAAATCATTTTAATAATTCATTATTTTTCTTATTTTTTATAAATCCAAAGTTCTTAAATATTTAGACCTTTAGATTTTTTTTTTTTTAATTAACTCATGTAATATATGGGTCTTACACCTAGTTTAACTATAGATTTACAAAATATTTTTTATTAAAATGATTATTTTACAAATTAATAGATATTTTTATTTAAAATAAAATGAATATTTAAGAAGGGACAATGAATAATGAATTATGAGGTAACAAAACTTTTATTTTTGTTCACATTTAGTCACTTTCCTTTTTGTGTACATGATTTACAAATGAATTTATTTTTTATATTTAAAAAGTATCCTTATGCCCTGCAAAAAAAATCATTGGTATATGGTGTAGACAAAAGTGACTAAAAGGATACCTTCTTGACCCATAATGTTTTCATTTATTATACTTTTATAGTATTCATAATTATCCTCATATATTGATGGTTTACCATCATTAACCAAAATGATACCTTCTTGACCCATAATACTAAATGTACTGATATTATATGTAGGTTATAGGTTCGGCATTGATAACATTTTTACATTTATGATAGTTAACATATTCAAAAGGATTGGTATGAGAAACCAACATAGTCGAAACTTGATTGCTTCCAGTTATCGATCAATTTCCACCTGATCCCCTGTCACCTAAACAATACGCACCAAGATCGACAACATGCAACATTACAATATGCATGCGGATGCATAAGAACAATAGAAAAATAATATTTTACCTCGTCATCGTCATTTATATAAACAACAATGCAAATAATCGAATATTTGTAGGACACTTTGATATGATTATCCACTACAAGTAATTTTCTGGATACCAAACCAATCAATCCAATATAGTTTATACACATGCAAATTCAAAGTGCGATTATTGTTAATTGGCATATACTCCCAAACTCTATTAACATTCTCCCACAATCCTCATATACAAAAATGTAATATAATACTATCGTTTTGTGCATTCATAATTTGTTCCAAGATATATGAAGATAAAGATGTTAGACTGGTAGATTAAAAGAAGAAACATGTTAACATGAAATATTATTACTGTATCGTATTTTAGAACGATCTTCATTCAACAAATAACAACCATGCGAGTTTAATATATATCAGAGACCATTTACATAGATAAATGAATAATGTGATTTTAGCAACAACAATTTTTTTTTTTCTAGAAGGAACCCAACAAAAATATTTTTATTAAAAAACAAACAATATTCAAACTTACAAACGGTAACATTAAATAAAAATAAATTAAATTATTTAACAAAAATAGGTGAAAGATATTATGTCTTGATCGAGTATATTTTATATAGTTGATAGGAGGACTTTGTAGTTTGGGAGCAAGTGGACTAACAACTAAGAGCGGTTGGTCGAACACATAATGTTAAACCACATGGATGATTGCAAAACAATATGGGCATTTAGGATCCGTACGTATAGTCATATAGGTAACGCAACACCCAACATCTATTTTTACAACAGCGAAATTTTTTTCCAACACCTTCTAATAACCGTCTTAGGATTAGACCTTGTAAACAACTCTTCGATATGACGATATATCAAGAAGGTTAATCGGGTCCGCTTAACGTAGTAGAATTATCACTCAAAAAAGGTGTATATAAAGACAAAAGGTGGCACGTGTTCACCGATACCTATGTTAATAGATTTTTCTAGCTGTTTGAAATGTACAAAACATTTTAATCAATAATAATTCGTTGATTATCATCCAATTCTCTATCAAAATAAAATTTAGGTTTAATCTGAAAATATATATATATATATATATATATATATATATATATATTCTTGTTAACCCTATTTTATTATTATTATTTTTTGATTTATTAGTTTTAAGCAAAATTCTAAAAAACTGGTCACAACATGGCTCCAAGAGTTGTATTTGACGCTAAATTTTAACAAAATTCCGCCTTAATAATTGTCATCTTAAGTAGACTTACAACTTACAAACGATGTATCTCGTCACGGTTTCTACTTAAAATTTGACATTGCTACCGACCTCTTTTTTTTAAGTATATAAGCATATGCCAACACGTTGAAAGTGATTTTTGTTTTAAAGCTCGGTTTTAAACGTCCCTCGCTTTTGTGCATTATGCATTATGAGGACTGAAATTTTGTTAGGAATTTAGAATCATTTATTGACGAATTTTAAGGAAAGTTTGCATTTGAATCAAAGTTGTAGGTCGATTTGAAGTCCCCAAATTAGAGAATATCAGGGGATTTCTGGGTTTTCATGCTCTTTGAGTGGACTGCTGAAGTCGATTCCTAAAATGGCGTCCAGATTGTCTGGTTTTTCAGGCATTCAGCCCGAGAATGTGCTAATGGACGCGGTACAGAGGCTATTACCTCTGCCATCTTCATGTCCCGAGCTTCTTGATGTTCTTGCAGTAAGGGGCTTTCCCGCCATATAATTTTCTTTTTTATTTTGTAATTAATGATGTTAGGAATCTTGAATTTGATGGTTTTTGTATAGATTGCCAATTAATTAATGACGTTAGTTGTTTTCTGCGTAGGTTCTTATGCATTTTCATTGTTCAAGAGACATGTTTAATAGATAAATTAGGGTTTTCCTCGAAATTTTAAAAATTATCCAGTAGGCTACACACATTACAATCCTACTCATATTTCATTGCTACAGTTAACAAGTTTCAACTATATGGTGTGTTCTTCTTCATAGCACATGGAGCAAAATTTATCCATGGTGAACCAAATGCCATCGGAATCAATGAAGCATGCAATGCATCCAATAGCTGAGGCACTGATTGCTAAAGAAGTAGCGGGAGATCGTGATATGGATGTGAACATCTCAGTTGTATCTTGTATCTGTGAGATTTTGAGAATTATGGCACCGGATCCCCCTTACAATGACAAACAGCTGCAGGTTCGAGACATCTGAATGAGTTTTGGTTTAACATGTGGGAAGTGGGAACGTTCTATACAACTCCCAAGTAACTGTTGTCTTTACTCTTTACTGTGTGTTGTTGTGCAGGATTTTTTTGAACTGACAACAATGACATTTGAGAAACTATCTTCTTCATCTGGTGGATGCTATACTAGGATGACTAAAGTTCTCAAAATATTTAGGAAAGCCAAATTTCCATTGCTGATGTTGGACCTGAAGATAGACAAACTAGTAGTTCAACTATTCAGACAATTTTTGACAGTTGCTGAGTAAGTTATAAGCTTGCAACATTTCAATGGTTTCTTAGAAGTGAACTTTTGATTTACTTCTTTTGTTATAAACCAACAACTGAATTTCTTGTTTGTTCTTATGCATGTTAAGCTTCAATCCCCCTGTTGTTGTACTTGAGATGGAGATGATCATGAGCATGATCATGAAGGAACGTGATGCACCCATGGCCGAGCTTGTAGAACTCCTAGTTATGAGTGTGAGAAATTCTAATCAGGTGAGGTTAACCATAATACCATATTAGGTTCACCAATTACATCATATCATATGCTAAAGTTTTTGTTGTTTGTTTCTCTTGCAGATTGATTTGCCTGTTTGTTGGCAACTTGGGGAAAAAGTTCTTAAGAACTGTGTTGCTCAACTCAAATCACATCTCCCGGATTTCGTAAGCAAAATGGGAATTCCTCTTCAAGATTATTCTAACATGGTTGCACAAATTTGTAATGGCATCCACTTTGAAGATGAAAAGAAAACCCTCTTAATGTCCAATGATCCAATAATGTCATCCAAGTCAAAAACAGGGGTGAAGGGAAAACGTAAGAGGAAGTGCACTTCGCCAAAGAAAAAGGTAATCTCACCTGCTTCTGGAAACTATTCTAGTTCTTCAAAAACAAACACGAATCACTCTTCAAGAAGCTACATTGGAAGTTGGTTGAAAACGTGTGTGTTCTTTGTGGGATTTTGTACATTTTGGAAATATAAGTAAGTTACATTCTAAACATCTATATGATTTGGATTTGTATCCAGGCATCGCCATTAGAGGTTTCGTCTTCTGAATCTTGCATAATTTGTGTCAAAGGCTACAATGTGAAGAGCAACATCGCACCGATTCTTGAATCCATTTTCATGAAACACGGTGACATAGCAGCTGAATGTTTATTCAAAACAGCTTCCGTAAGGGAATCTTTCCTACAAGTTATTTGTGAAGTTGTCACACAACTTCAAACCAATGATGAAAAAACCATAATTTCCAAGATGGAGGAAATAGAGCGCCAGGTGTCAGAGGCAGAGGCAGCCAACATTCATGTCTCGTGGCTTCGATCTTACTTGGAAGCCTTTTGCAAAAGGAGGGAATCCATGGAAATAAAAGCAAAAACAGGGATGCTTAAAAAAGCTGCTGAAATGGAGGTGAGAGAGAGACGTGCAGAGCTCATGGCTGCACAAAAACGGTTTGAAAAGTGCATGAAAGTACTCGATCTTGTAGAAAAGAATCTTAATCACAATATCTTGGATTCTAAAACCGAACAAGACTTATGGGTAAGGCAAGTCGATGTTATAGACTAATTATATCATGCTATGATGTTTAGATGATAGAATATCCACAAGGCTCGCATCCTTATTTTGTGAAACTAAGGTCGGACGTACTCTTTTTGTTAGGAAGAAAAAGGTTAAGTTTTGTGTATGTATAGGCTTCTGAAAATACCTGGATTTGTTTAGCTTGCTCTAAACCTCCATTTTGAAATACTTGGTTCTTGTTTATAGAAATTGTGGGTTTCTTAATTTTCTTTATGCGATGCTAATTACCATTACATGCTGTTCCTATTGGTTCATTTGACGGTTATTCTATAATGATAGAAAATTATATTTATGTGATGGGCTTGGTGTAAGGGTGAATAATTTGACGATTCTTTTGGTAAACCCGGTGAATTTCAGATTTTAAAGCTCTTTGATCGTCTATTTTAATATGGGTTACAGTGCGTGGATTTGCCTTCTCTAGATTGTAACAATACAACGGGATTCTCGAAAATTAATGTTCATCTGTATCATTCCGCAGTTCGAGCGTATGGCTGCTAGACCACCACTCATATTCACATATTCAAGGAGGGGCAAGTAGGGAAATAAACCAATTCTTACTTATTCACGAAGGGGCAAGAAAGGATTTAAACCATGAGTAAGCAATTGTGGGCAGCAAGGGTAAATAAGTAAATTAACTATTTTAGTTATGTCTTTAATTCAGTTATGTCTTTATATTGTAAGAGATCAGTTAGGAGGGACATCTTATCGGTTGTTTTAGAGATTACTCTCTTGGGAGATCCTGGCTTCTCGAACTACCAAATTTATGTCATATGTATGTAAAATTGATCATTAGATCATCTATTTCCTGTGTTAGATCGATAATTCCCCGAAATTGTCTTTTCCTTTCTTGTGTGATTGATATTCAAGAGTGAGAATCTAGCAATGTGGTATAGAGCAAATGGCTCATGGACCCATCAATACCCAGAGAATTGAAGAAGTAGAAGCGAATTTGGAAGGGGTGAAGAACACCATTGAAGAATTGCAACAACTTTGCAGTCAATTCACAACACTGACAAAAAAAATAGAAGAGGAATACGAAAAATTGAGGAGGTCGTTTGAGAATAGAGGGAAATCACCAATAAATGATGAACCTGATTATCACAGTGGTGATCGACCATCTCCCCCTCAGAAAAATGGTCAAGGAGGATCCAATTAGCGTTTTCGGAAACTTGATATGCCCTTATTTCATGGAACCAACCCCGATGGTTGGATCCTCGGAGCAGAAAGGTATTTCCAATTCTATGGATTACGAGAAGAAGAAAAAATCGAAGGGTTCATTGGTCAAGGTTCAGTGGCAGCATCAGAAGGGTTCCGAATGAACTTGGGACCCGAGGCAGAGATGCGAGAGCACCACCCTGAGTTATTCGCGACAGCTGACTTCGAGGACGAAGTCTGATTCAAGTGGGGGAGAATTATAACACCTTTATCCATGTATTTTTCATTTTCTCCCTAAAATATGAAATGTGTTGCAAAATCCTTTGTCACTTAAGTGAAAACACAACTTTTTTTAGTACGTTGAGCGTACGTGGCTGATGCCCAAACCCTAATTTTTAGAGTTTGAGCCCTATTTAAGCATCATTATCTCATTGAGACCCCTTCATTCATCAGCCTCCATCTCCCAATGTATCCCTAACAAACCCTAATCCTTTGTGTGAGCCTTTGTGAGCTTAAGAGTGCATTTATGGTGTTCTTGAAGGAAGGAGAAGGAAAGTAAAACATCTTGGAAGCTTAAGGCACTTTGGATCCAGAAGTATTTCACCCTCAAGCATCCCTTAGAGGTATAAAGTCTGAAACTTGATGAGTATTTGCTTAGATCTTGTTAGCTTTGAGTTTGTGTTCATTTTGGTCCCATAAGCTTGGTGTTTATGAGTACAGGTTACTCTAACCAGAAGAGCTATCCTTTCAGACGTTTTTAGGTATTACGAATTATAAAAATGTGATCTTGGTACTTCTATCCCTTCTACGCAAGAGTTATGATGTCTTAATGGATTATTGAATTAGGGTTTTAGCTTTTGGGCCTTGTCTAGCCATGGAAAGTCATAATGGTGGAAACTTTATGACTTAGAACAATGTGTTAGGTCTATATCTGAGTTTGGATGAAAGATCTTAAAGGAATAAGCACATTTTGAAGAGAAAAGGGTTCAAACGAAGTACGCCGAGCGTACCAAGTGGTACGTTGCGCGTAGTGGGCTGAAGCCCTGATGGTTTGCTCAGTTTTCGACTACGCCCAACGTAGTAGCCGAATACGCGGGGAATACTCAACCTACCTTGAATTTTGACTTGTTGACTTTGACCTTTGACCTGGGGTTTGGGGTTTGACCAAGTTTGACCCAAAATACAATATGTATATTTGTTTGGTTGTGTGTGGTACTTTGGGGGACTCACTAAGCTTTGGCTTACAGTTTAAGTTTTATGTTTTAGGTACTTCAGATGATTAGGGCAAGGCGAAGACTTGATCGTGCACATCCTTCAGTTTTTATGAGATTTGATTTTGGGATACTCTGTGACTTTAACACTTTGGAAACTATGTTTGTAAACATTTATGGTTTTTGGTTGTTTTTAAAAAATACAAATTTTACCTTTATTTTTTGGATGTTACAAGATTTTTGTCATATGTATGTAAAATTGATCATTAAATCATCTATTTCCTGTGTTAGATCGATAATTCCTTGAATTTGTTTTTTCCTTTCTTGTGTGATTGATATTCAAGAGTGAGAATCTAGCAATGGCACTTCGCATGCCAAGTTTGAGAGTACGAAATGTGAACTTTGAATCAAATTTTTATATCTTTGGCGATTCTTTTTCCTGTGTTTTATTATGCTCCCCCATTAAATATTTTAATATATGTCCCAATAAATTAACATTTGATTGACGACGATTGGGATGAATTTGCTTTTTTGAACACGTGTGATGTTCTTTGAATACTCGAACTTGGAACTATATCTTTAATTTTGGAATACCTAATATGTCATTACCAATTTTTTTTAATATATGAAGCCTAAAATATGTTTTTGCATGACTTTGTGGTTTTATATTAAGAACTTTCATCAATGCATTTTAATGTCGATGCTAGCTTCAACTCTTTTTTATCCTTGAATATTTGAGGAAGTCAGACATGTGAAGTAGCCTTGTAGCAGAGTGATACCCTAACATTGATAGTGTGTTCTTGGTTAGGCAACAAGGGAGACATACACGAGAAATCATTAATATTTCCATAAATACTATTTTCTTCATTCTTCACATTATAATCATTTATTAGAATGTCTTTATCTGATAAATCAACAACAATGTTTTCCTGTCTAATATCCATTTACAGTAATTATAACTCTCCCCGTATTGAGATGAAGATGATATGATCCATAATTATTTAGCAAAAGATAAGATATCCAATCATATGCAAGTTCCTCACTGAAAACGTTCTTACGTTTATGTTAGGTAACATACTTAAAAGATAACATACTTGAAAGGACCTATATGAGAAATCATCACAATAGAAACTTTATCACTTCATATTGTTAATCCCTGTTCACATGCTTCCTTGTTGCCAGATGTACAAAGATCACATACAATATAGCCATATGCGGATACACATAATGAACAACTAGATAGTCATTTGCCTCTTTATTCCCATTTAAATAGACAACATTGTCGAACATCGAAATTTTTTTGGGTAATATGATTTGATTATCCAATACACGTAATTTTTAGGTCACAAATTAATCAACTCATAATAGGTTATACCCCAAATGCAAATTCAAAGTTTGACTATTGATAACATAGAGCTACCATATACCCTCAAACTCTATTAACTTTCTACAACAACCTTCCATTACAAAAAGTACTATAATAATATTGTTTTGCAAATTCTTTATCGGTTAAAAGAAATGTGAAGATAAAGATTATATGCAAGATTCAGAAAAGAAACTTAGCTATTTATAAGAATGATATTTGTAATAATCAACAAAACAATATATATTTACAACAAAACAACATTGATCTAATACATCCTTAAAACACGACCCAAAAATTTCAATTTTTATTTAAGTAAAAACATCATTCCCAAAACATTATTTATACATCCCAATAAAATAAGTATGTCAAACATCATGAAAATCAGAGTATGTCCCATAAACAAAATCCATATGGTGTGTGCGATGCAATCAACCTGAACTCTTCCCCTTGGAACTGGAAGTACCTGAAACATAAACTAAAAACCATAAGCACAAAGCTTAGTGAGTTCCCCAAGATACCGCATACAATACATATCATATAACTAGCCCCGCCCAAAGAGATACGGGCCCCGCCCACACTCGTATAACGGGTCCTACCCAATGAGATACGGGCCCCGCCCAATAAACATACATATACAAGCACATACAAGTATCACACAAACAAAAAGTATATCAACATAACCAATCAAGGGTCGGTCTTAGTGCCTTAGACCCGCTAAACCCAGTGAAGAAACTCACCTCGAATGCTGAGTCTCACTGAAATAAATCCCTAGCTGCTTCCCTGATGACTCCTCGAGCTAAAAGTACACAATAACACCCAATTAATGTTGGATAAGGTGTCTAAGTCCATAACTTATTTGGTATATACTTGACCCGACCCGGAATGGTCCATTTGGGTT